ATATATATATATATATATACATACATACATACATATATGAATTTAATGTGGTTAAGGTTATATGTTAATGTATATACATGATATAAAAGTGTGTAAGTCACTTAACAAAGATCTTGTGGATAATTCATTTAATCTTCTCATGCTTAGGTTGTTTTGAATAGGTATATCTTTTCTTTTCATTAATGTGATACAATGTAAATGTATTTTTATATGTAAACTAAAGAAACTAGTGGAAATCTCACTGATGTGGATAAACTGCATGATTTTCATTTGAATGTGTTTACCTGATTTCCTTGCATGTGAGAGTGCTTGCATGTTTATTTATTGTTTTTCGGGAGCAGATAGGATAACGAGAAATGTTCAAATTGTTGGATGAGAGATATAGGAGAATAAATGAAATTCCTCTGTGCTCAATGACATGAAAGGAAGCATGGCAAATGCTTTTAAAGTTCCAAAATATTTAAATATTTTTATATAAAATAAAGTAAAAGTGCCTCAAAAAGAAATATTTTCAAAAGTTTCATTAAAAGAAAGTCTCTTCTATCTCAGCTAAAAATCCCTCTAAGATTTAGAGCTCATAAAAATTATTTTTAATTTTAATTAAAAGTGCTCTAAAACTTAAAATTTTTTTTCAAGTTAATAAACTCATCAAAACATTTTTCTACACTAATTAAATGTACTCTAAAATGAAAACCTCTTTCAATTTTAATCAAATTATTAAGAAAGAAACTTTTGTACTTCAATTAAATGTGCTCTAAATTTATAATCTCTTAAAACTTAGATAAGCTCAAGGAGAAGGGTTTCAATGTTCTGCAAATTCTTTTTAAGTTTTTGTTAAGAAAACTCTTCTCAAAAAGAAAGTTCCACTTTCAATGTTTCGAGACTTCATTTGGAATGAGCTCTCATAAGAACTTATCCTATAGAGAAGTCTATTCCTTAAAACTTAAAAATTATTTCATTTTAAAAGAAAATTCTCTTTCAAATAACTCATTCTATTTCAATTTCTCTTAAATATTTTTATTGAATCTTAAAAGTAATTTTCTTTAAAAATTTCTTTAAAAAAAAAACCTTTCCTTTTCAAAGATCAATAAAATTTTAAAAATATTTTCAAGACTTTGTTCTTTAAGAAGTCCCTTCTTTAAAAAGCAAAATCCTTTACCAAAAGATAATTTCCTCAAAAACCCTTGAGCTTTAAGAATTTAAAATATAAACTTGTTAGGCTCCTTTCACTTGCTCAGTCTAAGTTATGCATATATTCATTTAGATTGAGTGACTACATGAATGAATATGTTTCTCCCCAGAAAAGTATGATTTTGTAGCCTCAGATTTCTAAGTATACAAGTCTTGGGTTATTTTAATTTAAACAACCCACAATAAAGATAAACTTATATTCTCAAATACTTTTGAATGTCAAAATTATTGTTAGAAAGATCTAAATATTTTTGTATGAAAAGAATACCATGTATTATATTAATAGGAATCCAAGTAAATTTTGATTATGAGAATTTTAAATTAAGAAACTTAGCTTTATTTGCTTAGAATACATCTCTCAACCACAATTAAAACCTGGGAAGAAAGAAAAAAAAAAACTTTAGGTAGAAAACTAAAACAAATATGGAAAAACAATATCTATTAACAATTTGACCGAGACTTCACTTAGAACGAAACCAAACAACACTTAGAAAACCTTTTGATTTGTTATCATGACTAACGATTTATAAGAGGAAAAAATCACTACTAATTATTAAACCCCAAAAATAATTAAAATTGACCAACTCTAATTTCTATAACCACACATTAGGATAGTTTTTTATTCTAATGAAAATCATGTGTTGATACGGATATCCATAAGTATTGTGTACTATGTATGTAAAATTTCCTTAAAATTTTGACTTTGATATATGCATATAGGTGTTAGGCAGTGTTCGTACCTGAAATGACATTCATTTTTATGACATGTTGATTCATTATAGCCATTCAATCATTGGAATCATGCTTTAAAAAATTAATGATTTATTTTAAAGTTTCAATAATTTGTTTTCCATTAAAATTTATCCCAAACTGACCCTTAACACTGTGAAGCACTATCAATGTTGAATCTACATATTTCAACAATGTTGAATCTACATATTTCAACAAAAATTAATATGTATATATGTATATATATATATATAAAGCTCTTGCAACAATTTTATGAAATTTAAAACATTGGATGTAAGCTTTGTAAATACATAACAATTGTGTGGTATGTGAGAGGAAATTGTAATACCAACTCCACAACCCCATTTTACACTACTTGCTTGCTGCAGAAGTTCAGAAAAAGAAAATTACACATAATTACCTCTCAAAATTTGTTGATAGAAACAGGATGCTTAGCCTGTGATAAAATTTTCCAAAATGGTGGTTCTGGTGATAAAATCTTTCGTATAGAGAAAAATCAAAAATGTGAAAACTATTGCTATGGCGGTTACCAGGAACATGTAATCTATTCCCTTCACTTTCTTTACTGCAATTTGTTGCTTTCCTTCACTCGAAACATTACTTCCATGGCCTTCTACTTGACATTGGTTCTCCCTATCCGCATCAACCAATTCAGCCAGTATCTTTCCTCCATTATCCACAACATCAAAAGAGAGCTTTAAAATTTCATCTTCTTCGTCGCAATCTTCTATACGTGCTTTCTCTTCTCTTTCAATTGGTTCTATACCTTGGAATTGAATAGGTGGACTTTCATTGAATGCCATCAAATTATCATGTTCCGGTGAGAATTGAACTGTATTGGATTCAGTTAAAGAGCATTCTTTATGTTCTCTAAGATTCTCTTCAGTTTCTGATGATTCCACATTTTTTATGAAACCATCTGACAGATTTTCTTCAGTCGTCTCTTTTTGAATGGAAGCATTAAGGTCACATAGAACATTATTTTGCTGCTGAATCTTCTCTTCCATCATTATAAACATTGTTGGGTTGTCATGAATGCAGGCCTGATAGAGGAAAAACCATGAGGATAAGTACTTCCAAATTAATTGTTTGGGGAACAAGTTAGACTAGATGAGTTAAATATTCATGAATGCAGATCTCAAGGAGGAAAAACTACAGAGTTTTTTGCTTCAAAAATGTTTGGAAAAGATAAGATTATAAATTAAATATTCTCAATGGTAGATACCTTGGCTCCTTGAATTTTATGGATAGATCCCTCAACTCCTTCATCATCTAATGGGGAGTAAATTTCTTCGAGCTCCATGTTGTCTTCTTCAATATGTGCGATACCATAATTATGAGTTATCAATGGAACATCCTCTTTAGTCATAACCATAATCAAGTCCTTACAACTATTTTCCTGAAGAAGAGAAATAAGAATGAAATTGACATAGACATAATGTTAATAGTAATGCCACAATAGTCCCCTCACTATTTACATGGGGCTATTTTATTCCCAGACTTTATAAAATTGGTAAATTAGTCCCCATATTGTTTTAATGGGGGGTTAAAATCTTCCTCATTGTAGACTATTTATACCCATATTAGAATAGTCTGAAGACTAAATTGACACTTTATAAATTCTAGGACTAAAATGACCCCCCTGCAAAGAGTTAGGGAATCATTTTGACATTTTTTTTCTATAAAGTTGTGTGGAAAACATATTTAGAAGGAGATTGTTCTTCTGCATTTTCACTACTTACCTCAGGTTCTGAAAGTATTGATACACTCGACTCATGGGGAAGAGCGACTGTTCGCTCACATAAATCTCTTGATCCCTCTACCATTTTTTCATCAGATCCATCTTCATTCTCATTTTCATGTTCAAAACTTAAAATATCTTCCCTCAAAACATCTTTGAAAGAACCACTGTCCAGGACAAATTTGTCTTCCATTATCAGGTGTTTGCCTGAATCATTCTTAAAAAGGAGAAACACATTGCATGACATTTAACCTACTATTTGAAAAAAAAATTAAACGATCAAATAAATTTTTTGTAATGTTAATTTTTATTTATTTAAGACTGCTGACACAGAAGATACCTTTGTCATATCCAATGCCATTTTTGCTTCAACACTTGATCCAAAAAATGGCTTTATATCCTCGATTAATGAATTGATTTCATCTTGATCGCCAAAAGGAGAGATTTTTTCCATTTCTATGGATCTTGAAAAAACGAATTCTAGAATAGAATTGTGCATCTCATCCACTAAATCATCTTCGAATTTTCTTTCTTCTATTGCTTCAACCATTTCCAAATTTTGGCAAGCTTCCTTCTGCAAGGATTATTGTTGTAAGAATCATCCAATAAGGTGAAAGATATTGTATCCAGTGGATCCTTATGCAAATAAGAAAATATATGTGAAAAAATCAATAGATATAGAAAGAATTGCAGGCAGTTTGCCTTATGTAAAATATTTTTTGGTAAAAGGTAAGGCTACTTTCAGCAAACATAAGAAATTCATATATATATTTTTTATGCAGTATGCATACGCTAAAATGGTAACCAAAACAAATAAGAGCCAAATAAATCAAGTAAAACAGGAATGAATTGCTTATCCAACTTGATCCTATAAACTTAAAAAAAAAAAAAAAAAAGTAAATGTCTTGAGTTAATTGGCATCATTTATTAATCATGTGGTTGGCATTGTAACTTTATTTGTATGTATCAGAGTTGTTAGCCAATGGGACATAATTATTATTGATTTAAAATGGTGATTGTAAATTTCTTCACTTATCTTTTCTCAGTCTTCTTCTCTCACATTTTCTTGGTCACCCTCCAAGCTATACAACATATGGATCAAGAAAGAAGATGTGTTTTCTCAAATTCTGTCCCCTCGGTCAAGCTTCTTTCATATTTACAAAAGAAATTAATTCTAGTTTATTTAAACAGCTATAATTTGATATTACTCGATGCAACAAATAATAAATAAACAAAATGAAAAACACAAATTTTACGTGGAAAACCCAAGATGGGAAAAACCATGGGCAGAGAAGAATCCACTATATTAAATAAGAGATTATAAGTAGAGTCATCTTGGAAAAAATAAAAGAATTGTATTTATAATTTTAGCAAGACCTCTTTAAAAGAAAGACATTAAAACAATGACACACAGATTGCAGTCTAAAGGCTATTATAAGTTTAATCTAAAGATTAGAACCTTCAATTCATGTGTTCACAATTTTCTAGTAAAGTCTTAATCCGCGTGATCATAATTTTCTTATGAGACAATAAGTGGGGCCTACAAAATTCGGGTCACAAATTTAACAATCTCCACCTAGACATGAATTTCCACAGAATATAGAATTGAGCTTTCTCCACCTCTTCAACAAAATTCTAATGATAAGGAATAAATACCAACCAAGTCTAAGGAATGCTCAAAATTGGCTATTGGAAGTGTGTTAGTCATCATATTTGCAAGATTATCATGGGCTTTGATCTTGATCACAACAATATCACCACGAGCGATAACTTCACAAACGAAATGATGACGAACATCAATGTGCTTAGTTCTATCATGAAACAAATTGATCTTTGATGAGATAAATAACATTCCATCACAGATCAGTGTGATTATCTTCAAATCTTCACTGAGCTCTTCAAATAGACCTTTCAACCCGAGAGCTTTTTTGCAAGCTTAGGTAATTGTCATGTCCTCAATTTCAGTTGTAGATAGTGTCATTGTTATCTGTAAATTAGCCTTCCAGCTAATCGCATAACCACCAATAGTAAACACGTATCTTGTAAGTGATATCATTCCATCACGATATTCAATAAAATCAGAATCAACATAGCCAATGACTTTATTTGTAATCCTTCCAAACTACAAACAAACATTATTTGTTCCACATAGATCCCTAAGGATACATTGAACAGTTTGACAATCTTCTTTATCCAAATTACTCATATATCTACTAACTACACTGATTGCATGTGATAAATATGGACAAGAAAATATCATGGCATACATTCAATCTCATCATTGAAAAGTGAACATAAGGCTGATGAGTCTGAAATGCGCAGCAAATAAAGTACTAACATTGTTGTCATTCTTCATATTAAATCAATACAAAACTTTTTTAGTGTACCTTTTCTGACTTAAAATAATTTACCTGTATTTCTTTCTCTTTGAATCTCTATGGCATGTATTTTCTTTACAACTCCTAAATCTTTCATCTCAAACTCATTGTTAAGTTGAGCTTTTAGCGTCTAGATGTCTTCTTTGTCCTTGGCTATCACACCCCAGGTAGGGTTAATTGTAGTGCAACAAAGGTTGAAAATTTGGTTAGACCAACTCTTACTAGGACTCATCCTGACTTATATAATCAGGACCGAGTGATTGATGTATTAGTCTAACTAGCCACAACATACGTGATACCTTGCATTTCATATACATACTCGGAAAAATGGAGATCATATCATCCAAAACATGAAAATTATACAGAGCTGTTAAATGCAATTTAAAAAAAAAACATACCCAATACATATGTACAAGCTCTCAAAATTATCGTGCAAAAGCTATACAAAGACACACCTGACTACTAGCCATGGTGCTCGTTGCTCCTACCTGGAAGGCAACAATGAAGAATGAGCAACAATGCGCTCAGAAAAATAATCAATGCTAACATAAGATTTTATACATGGAGAAAAAATAACATGCAAGCTCGTCAGAAACTGTACATGTCTACACACACAATTAATAATATGCTAACATGTTAGAGGGAATATGAAAATAGAGCAAACATTATAAAAATGAAAACTAGAGTATAACATGTAGATCTTAAGCATGAAATCATAAGTATAATCAAAAGCATGTTCATAGTATGTAATCATAAAAATGTCATTTTATAGTAATATCATTAGTTTAATGTATAAAGTTGGACTATTTCTATGTCATTTCATCATGGGTTGTCACCTTGCCTCAAAAACCATATAGACTATCGACAAATGTTAAGCTTCCCCCAACATAACAGCTATTGATAACCCTCTGATACCGACGGTTCTCTAACATTCTATCACCACTAAATTCCAACAATTACTAGAGTTTGATCCTCTTACAAATATCTAGAGTCAGGAAAACTACGTCCCTACATAATATACATGCAAACACTCATGTAATAGTCTACCCATATCATTCTTTTTGACATTTAAATCATCATTTATGTATCAAACATTTATAAAGCATTACATGTATCATAGGCATAAAGTATAATAAATGAAAACATGCAAGGAATTCATATTATAAACATAGTCATTTGTAGCATAGTATGATCATAGCATTACGTGTATCGTAAGAAAAGTAAACGTGCATTCATACATTCAGTTGCAGACATCAATTCACAATATGCAAAAAAAATTAAATGCATTTATGTAAAAATTGAATTCATATGAAAACCTATAGAAGACTATTGTTCTTAAATTAGATCAAGATAATTTTACCCGACTTAACGAAACAACCCTACGATGAGTGCCCACACCCTCGTCTTGAGCTCGTCATCCCATATAGACAACCTGTGACTCACAGAAAACATATGATTTTATAAAATTTGGCTCATAACATGCATAAGCAACCAAATTAGTCTCAACATATCTCTGAAATGGATTATTTTCTCTTCTTGTCTAATTCGTGGCAATAAAATACTGTAATGTTGTTGTCGCGATGATGGGATAATAATATCATCATGATTATATGAATTTGAGTCAGAAGTTATGCTTAAGAATGTGCCTATATCAATCTGAAGCTCCATTTGTTTGCTAAACATTTTCTTTTTATCATTATCTTTAGATTATATAGTAGATGTTGTATGTAATATGACAGATTCATTAAATAGAACATCTCCACTAATGATCATTTTCTTAGTTTCTTGGCAACATAACTTATAACCTTTAACTCCAATTTTATAACCAAGAAAGACACTTTATATATCTAAGCTCTAATTTACCATTTTTTAATATAAGCATAAGTGGGACAACTAAAATTTCTTAAATTAGAGTAATTTGTAGATTTACCTGAACAAATCTCTTATGAAGTTTTCCTGTCAATAACAATAGAAAGAGAATGATTCACCAAGTAAAAATATTTATAAACAGCTTCAACGTAAAATGACTTGGGTAGTTTGATATTGGAAAGTATGCAACGAACCTTCTCCATTATGGCCTTGTTCATTCGCTCTGCAACATCATGTTACTGAGGTGTTTGCTGGAGTGTAAGTCTCTCATAATTCCTTCTGATTTGCAGAAGACATTAAATTCTCATGAACATAACTCCAACCCATTATCAGTGCAAAGTCATTTGATCTGTTTTCCAGTCTGCTTCTCGATCATGATCTTCCATTCCTTAAATGTAGTAAAAATATCCCTCTTCTGCTTCAAGAAGAACACCCAAAATTTTCTAAATAAATCATTAATGAAAGTCAGCATATATATGCCGCCCTTTTTAGATTGCATTGCAGATGGTCCCTAGAGGTCATTAATGCATGTAGTCTAATATTTCAGTAGTATTGTGAATATCAATATTGAACTTAACTCTTTTATGTTTTCCAAATACACAGTATTCATAAAACTTCAATTTAGTAATGCTTTGACTACTTAGAAGTCCCATTTTGCCCAATTCAACCATCTCATTCTCGCTCATATGCCAAAGGCGCATACGACAAAATCTATTTGCTTCATCTTCATACGGAAGAAATAGTAACTGTTGCATCAACTATCACAGTAAAATCTTGCAAGACATATAGTCCAACAACCTTCTTCCGTCCCTTCATCATAGCAAGAGATCCTTTACCAACATTTAAAACTTCAACTTTACCAAGGTACTTATACCCTTTAGCATCAAATGTACTTAAAGAAGTTAGATTCCTTTTCAGATCTAGAACATGTTTCACATCTCCAAGTATTGTTATGACTCCATCAAACATCTTGATTCTAACAGTTCCAGCATTGATTATTTTATATGGATCATTATTACGCATTAACATAGTACCCTTTGAAAACATTTCATATGTTGAAAATCAATATTTATTGAGACACATATGAAACATGCGAGTTGAATCAAGAACTAAAACATTACAAGGCTTTCCGTCGAATGCAACTAGAAGTTCACCATCATTAATAGCTTCTTCAACAACTTTAGCTTAACCAAAATGATTTGATTGTTTTTCTTTTTGATTTGAAGTTACTTTACTATTTTTATTCTGCAATTTGTAGTACAAAGATTTGATGTGCCCCTTTTTCTTACATTAATTGCAACTCTTATCTTCATTTCTGAATTTTGATATACTCTTTGTATCAGTGACAAAACTTCTCTCTTAAGTTTTACCTCGAACGATAAGGCCTTCTCCTTGAGCAACATGTTGATTCACAAATTGTTTCAACTTTTCGTCAGAAAAAATAGCATATACTTTGTCTAGAGTAAGTGTCTCTCGTGCATACAAGATGGTATCTCAAAAACTTGTATAAGATAAAGGCAGTGAGCACAACAAGATTAATGTCAAATATTCTCCATCATATTTAACTTCCATGGGTTACAAATCAAAGATGATTCCTTTAATGACAATTGATCTATAACAGATGCACCTGCTATCATTCTATGAGAGTGAAAATGCTGCTTCAAGTGTAACTTACTAGTCAGACTTTTCATCATGACAATTGCTCTAATTTGAAACACATCGTAACAACAGTCTTCTCCTTCAAAACATCACGTAGAATTTGATTTGATGGATGAAGATGAATTTGAAAAAAAACATTTAGATCATTATGTTGCTTCTCCTCCAACTTTCATAATAAGGAAATCTTTCTGAACCAAGTAACACATCATCAAGGTACATTTGCACTAAGATTGCTCACATCTTACCTTGTCAAAGAGAAAATTTGGTGTTGCAAACTAACAAGTGGAATGTCGCAATTTACCGTTACCATTATCGAAATCAACACTCGTCTCTGATACCATTTATTATAACTTGATATTAATCGATGCAATAAATACTAAAATAAATAAAAGAAAGAACACGAATATTTTACATGGAAAATCGAAGATAGAAAAAACCATGAGCAGAAGAGAACAATTCATTATATAAAATAGATTACAAGTGGAGATTGTTCACAAAACAAAAGAGAGGTATTTATAGTTTTAGCAAGATCTCTTTAACATATAGATTGGAATCTAAAGACTTAATAAGTTTTAATGGTTGTAGCTTTCAATCCATGTGCTCACAATATTCTTATAAAATCTCAGTCTGTGTGACCATAATTTTCTTATGAGACAATAAGCAGGACCCAAAAAAATTCAGGTCACAAATTTAGCATAAAAAATAACCGAAGTTCCACTGGATACTAAGTTTAGCTTTATGTACCTTGGTAGAACCTAATTGTCACCCTTAGACTAATAATCTACAAATTCATAAATTTTAACACAGCTGTTTTTTATGTAAAATTGCGTGGTCATCCCCTACACTCAACTTATCCAAAGTTCAAGCTTTAAAGTCTTATTCTAGCTCCAACAGAGAAGCAAACATACTTGAGTTATGAACATTTTTCATCTATGATGGCATAATTAGTATTGAAAGGAGGACCATTCAAAGATGTTGGCCATCTTCTCTAAAAACGTATTAAGACGAATAATAACAGAATCATAATAAGAGGGTGAGCTATCCTAACCAACAAAGGCAATGCGGGCATTATAGTAAACAATTTGTGAAACATTTTTCTAGTATTTCAAATCAAATATCATTTCTACTGACACCTTCTAGAGGTATCCTGAAGCATGATGATCACAATGGATCTCCTAAAGCACAACAAAATCACAATTGATCAACAGGATGCTATCGAATGTTAAAAGCATATAATAGCAGGATCCTCTCATTGAATGTGATTGAATGTGTATCTTTTGTGATGGATAGCAGACCATCATTACGAAACTGGATCCTAGATCTGTGAAATGTGTGTTTGTAAGTTATTCTGCTACCTAGAAGGGGTATGTAGGCTAGAGCTCAAAGAAACTATTTCTGAGCATGGATGTGCATTTAGGAAATTTAAACATACTACACCCACCCTTCGTAGTAACGGTGAGAGAGTGATACATGTGGGAGCAATGTCTTGTCATGTGATGTGAGATGAATCAATTGAGAAACTAAAAAAATGAGGAGAGTGAATCCAGAGATGGTGGGATTCATGCTAAAGTTTGGTTGATGGTGTATACATGAAGAAGGAAGCCAAATAAGGGAACGATGCCTACAGTGTCACTTCTGTCAGCTAGTCCCTTATCTCGGTTTTTCCCAACACTTGAGACACCTACACCATCCACCTCCAAATCATCTCTCCAATTAATATAATTCGTCCTCCTCCTAATCTCCACAATTTTAAGGAGTACCTCTCACAACAATGTGAGATATCCTACCGATTTTTTTGGTTGGGAACATGACATTGTTAACTTTTTTTCATATTCTAACATATCACATTACATGGAGCATTCATTGTAGCATTGGACAATATCTCTATACTGAAGTGTTGGCAGGATACTAAGGAAGATCCTTAGTGGAAAGCTGCTATGCATGAAGAGCTTAAGGCTCTCCATAAAAACTAAACATGGGAGATAATGTCACTACCAACAGGGAAAAAAGTAGTTTGATGTAAGTGGATCTTTACACTATAGCAAATTCCAAAAAGGAAGCTGGAGCGGTACAAAGCACGACTGGTGGCAAAAGAGTATAATTAAACATATGACATTGACTATGATAAAACCTTCGCACCAATAGTAAAGATGAGTACAATGAGGATACTGGTTTCTCTGACAGTGAATGATGAGTGGAAGTTACACAAACTTCATGTGAAGAATGTATTTCTTCATGTTGAGTTACTGCAGGAGAAATATAAGGAGATACCATCAGAATTCAGTACGGTCCAGACTGTGAGCAAGGTGGGTAGACTCAGGAAGTCACTGTATGGCTTGAAGCAGTCTCCTCAAGCCTAGTTTGAGAAGTTTAGAAAGGCTATGGTGGGCAAGGGATATCAACAGATCAATGCAGATCATATGGTATTCTTTTCATGACATAAAGGTCACATCACTATACTTGTTGTATATGTTGATGACATCCTTGTTAATGGTGATAATGAGGCATAGATTACCCAAGTAAAGATAAGAGTGAGCAATGAATTTGAGGTGAAAAAACTTGGGCAACTCAGATACTTTCTCAGAATTGAAGTGGCACGTGAATCTGAGGGGATGTTCATGTCCGAGAGACAATATGTACTGGATTTCTTCACATAAATAGGCATGTTGGGTGCAAACCTGCAGTCTCTCTAACTGACTAGAAAGCCAAGCTGAGTGCAGAGGCAAAAGAACTAGTTGATCGTGAGAGGTATCAGAATTTGGTGGGTTGTCTGATCTTTATGTTTCACACTCAACCTGACATCTCTTTTGTAATGAGCGTAGTAAGCCACTACATACATGATCCAAGGAAAGGTCATATACATGAAGCGTATTGGATTTTAAGGTACCTAAAGAGTGCCTCAGAGAAGGAGTTGATTTTCAGAAAGAATGGGCTTGTAGACATTGTGGGCTTTTGTGATGCTGACTGGGCGAGTTGTGCAGTTGATAGAATATCCACCTCAGAATACTGCATGTTTGTAGGAGCCAACATGATCTCTTGGAAGAGAAAGAAATAGTTTGTAGTAGCAAGGTCAACAGCAGAGGCAGAGTACAAGTTCATGGCCTTAGGAGTTGCCAAGAAGATGTGGCTGAGAGCCTTCTTGGTCCAGCTCAAGGTGGACAAAAGAACTTAAATGAAGTTGTGGTGCGACAACAAGCCATCAATCAGCATTGCCAACAATCGAGTGCAACACGATAGAACCAAACATATGGAGATTAATATATTTTTAATCAAGGAAAAGCTGAATAATGGGCTACTGGAGCAAATTCATGTGGCCACTAGAAAGCAATTGGTTGATTGCCTCACCAAAGGACTTGGTTCATTAGACTTGTCTAGGTTATGTGAGAAGATGTGCTTAGTAGATATCTTTTTCTCATCTTGAGGACGTGTGTTGAGAATTGGACCTTATTTAGGGTTCAATTGGTAAAAAGGGAATATTGAAGAAGTCTAGGAGTTTATTTATAAAACATTTTAATACCCTATTTAGCCCATGTTATGAATGTACAAAAATGGTTTTCAACAATTCTTTCTTCAGGTTCAATTTAATTCTTTAGTCTCCATCCCACCATATAAGGATAATGAGGATAATTAAGCTCAATGAAAACAATTTCAGCAAGGATTAGAGAATTGATACGATAAAAATTTATGAAACTTCAAAGGCACACTATAGTTTAGGGTTTTTCTTAAAATAAAAAGAATGTTTTCGTGTAGAATACTGTGAGGCTACATGATATCATTGGTAGGAAATTTGAGTTATTTTCACTCTGCAAGATTTTCAAGTTTCAATTCTATTGAAATTGATAAACAGAAGCAACTAAGCAAAATGTCAGGATGCAAAACTAGATAAAAGGAGGGGAAAGTAAATTGAAAAGAATTATGATGAGAATAAATTAGGCAATAACTTCAATTTTTCTCATTGCAAAATAAAAGAGCATATTATTCAAAGTATTTAGAAGGTCCATGATGAGATGAAACCAAAGAGAAGGCATTGATGACAGAAAAAAACAAGATAATAATACAGTTTTTTGCTCTAGACACAGACATGTTGGAATGCATTAAAAAAGCTGACCGTTCACTTTTCATTAATTTCCCACAAAAGCAAGAAGACTTTCAAGATCTATTTTGCGTTGGCCTCTAGAATAATAGGTTAATGGCATTACTCTTTTGGGTTGGAAAGCCAAACAAAAAGGGTATTGCAATCAAACAGAAAGTTCCCTATGATAGAATTTTAGGAAGTGGAAAGAGGGCAAAAACTTCACAATGAGCTTCAATTTATGGGAGAAAATTCCTTTAGTAGTGAGCCTTGCTCTAGAAGGCTCTCACATATATGGCATCCTGTGATTATGTTGCTCGAACTCATTGAGCTAACATAATAATTGCTTAGGAACAATAACTCCCACATCAAGCCTCAATGAGATGAGAGTTTGAGAATAAGCTTTTATGAGGTAGATTAGGTTTAATTAACCATATTCCCCCTAATATGAGGTGAAGCTTTTAAAAGAGGAAGCCCCTTCGGTTGATTAGCCCTCCTATCTACAGGGGAACAATCACAAGTAAGGATGCTACTTAAGCTTGCATTTTCATAATCATTGATATTGATACCCTTGCACAATTTAAATTCATCTTGACTTGATTTTTTTTATTTTGATCCAGAGTATGATTCCTGTGATTTATGATTAGCTCATTTCACACTTGGCTTTGACTTGAGATTAACTTGACTAGTGTTTTAATCTTTTTTTTTTCAATTTTAATTTAAATATTATTGATTAACCATTCGTATCTTTGAGAAAATCATTCAAATTGGAATTAATAAATTGCCTGCTTTCATCATTTTTCATAATTTTTTTTCTTATCTTAGCCTTTGATATCATTTAAATTAATTATAATTAATAACCAATTAGAAACTTAATTATAAGTTAAATCAATAGCTAGACTTCCAAAATTATTTAGAACTGTTAAAGGCAATCAAGTAATCAAATAATATTTATCTAGCCATAGCATTGGACAATAATTTTTTTCTTAATTCTAATTCAAATCTCCGCTTTGATATAGCCATAGCCCAATCTATCTTGGGAAAACCTACATCCACCCCTAGCTGAGCATCACAGACTTCCTAAAATTCTAAAACCATCGATTCATTACCTTACCTTCATAAAATAGCTTAGATACTTACCATGGCTGCCTTACCCATAAACAATGTAATTTACTCAATTGGACAATAAAATACTGCCCTGATTTATTAACCAGTAGTTCACATAATTGGCAATCAGAAATATTAAATTACTTTATCCATAAGGTACTTACCTCAGGTAAACACAGTTCTTCTATATTGAGGTTCGAATGAGTGATTTCTCCTTCTAATTCCTCCCTCTCAGCCCCCTCCTCTATGTAAGGCTTTTGGCTATCTTCTTCATCTTCTTTTCTATTTATAAATGGGTTTTCAATCTCTTTGCTGACGATATCAGTGACCAATTGTTCAACATCATGCCTTAATTGAACTTTTCCCAAACTGCTATCAATCCCCAAATCGTTGTATACATTCGCTGGAGAAGAACCAATCTGTGAAGGATAAGTCACATATCACTGTCAAATAAAACATAATGGAAAATAAATTAGGAATAAGGAAAATGAAAAAAATAAAAAAGCAAGACATGATTACCTTTGCTAGTTCTCCTTCTACTCCATCCCCTAGCTCATATTCTTTTGCCAAGCTACTTTTTGCCATTTTATCATCAAAATAAATATCTAATTCCCCCTTAACAAAATTCAAAAATTCAAGATTGCAATGAAGATCATCAAAGGTATTCACCTAGAAATAACAAATGTTAAACTTAATTTATATGGCTTTTAACAGTAAAACTATAGCATGATAAAATAAAAAAGTTTATCACCTCAGATAATTGTAATGATTAGAACACTAACCGTTGTAACTACGAAATAATAATGGCCAACGGCGAGAAGACGAGAGCTTACCCCCATAGAAAATTGTGATGATTACATTGCTAATTACTATATTGACGAAATAATATCAGTTAGGAGATGGGTAATGATCTTTCCACCCTAGATAATTATAATTTTTAAATTGCTAAAAGCTGTGACGACGGAATAAGGCGGAGTAATATCTGCCCAGAGTATGTTAGATTTTGTTGACTGTGATTCTCACAGAGATAGAGTAGAAAGCAAGAGTAAAGATAAAGTAAATGCATATAGAAGATTTTAGTATTTTCATTTAGAAAAGGTCATAACATTAGCATATTATCGGATTTCTTATAAAAATATAAAAGCCTAGTATATTATAAGATTCTTATGAAGATATAAAAGACCAACATGCATATTAATTTTTTTTTATCTTGGGTTACTACAGTTTAAGTGTGATTTCTCCTAAGTTATTTTAGATAACTTTGTTGGACATTATAGACGTCTATTATTTTACCCTACTTAAGGGTAGTTTTGCCTTCTTACTTATTGTATATATATATATGTATCGTTTACTCTTGTAAGATGATCTTTTGGTTGATGCAATTGAAACCCTAGCCACTTTTTCTTTCTCCTTCTCCATTGCAATTGTTAACATGGTATCAGAGCGAGTTCTGATCTATTTGCAGTCTCCTGCGAATCACAACTCTTCAGGTGATCCATTATTATTGGTATTTGATCCTTCCTTTTTCTTTGTCTTCTTTTTGTATTGATAATAATAGCAATGACTGGTGAAAAAGATGACTCTCTTCAGCCTACTAGTGTGCAATTGAATGGACAAAATTACTCATATTAGAGTCATGTATTGAAGAATTTTTTAAAAGGCAAAAGAATGTGGGGTTATGTTTCTGGAACCTCTATTAAACCCATAGATGAAAAAGATGGAAAATATGAAGAAATGTTGGAAGTATGGGAAGCAAACAATTCAAAAATGATCACTTGGATCAATAACTCTGTTTCTCAATCATCAATCGGTGTCCAATTAGCAAACAATTAGCAAAATATGAAACTGTCAAAAAAGTTTGGAATCATTTGGAAATATTATATGTGCAGTCAAATTTTGCAAAGCAATATTAATTAGAAATAGATATTTGTACTCTTCAATAAAACTACCCTTAAGTAGAGTAAAATAATAGACATTTATAATGTCTAACATAAGACAAAACTACCCTTAAGTAGGGTAAAATAATAGATGTCTATAATGTCTAACAAACTCATCATGTTATTTTAATATTATTTTAGGTTTAAGTATTTGAACAAGATGAATAGAAGAAGATCAAATTTGTATAGAAGACGAGAAAAACAAACAAAAAACAATACATTTCTACTTGTTAATTTGCTTTCTTTATTAGTTATTTCATGATTTTTTTAATATAAAACTGTTAGTAATAGAATTAGAATAGTTATAACTTTATTTTCACCATCCGACTGTCTATTCTTGTCTTGGTTAATTCCAAGCTCTGGGTCGAATCGTGACAAATGTGATATCAGATCAAGAGGTCTAGATTAAATAATTTGAATCTTAATGAGAGAGCCAATAGGATAATTTGATTAAGTTATAAATAATATAAATTAAAAATTTTAATTGTTTTTAATTAAATTATATGAGAGGATGAAATTGATGGAGGTTCAAAATAAAATCAAATAGATTAGTGGTCAAAACCATATTAAGATTAAAAAATTTATTCTAGGTTGAGTACCAACTATTTGGTGTCTCTACACTGAAAAAGTATTCAGTTATACCATATAACACCAAACCAAAGCCTAACATGCCTTAACACCTCAAATACCAGAAACTAAAACTTCTATTTTTTCAAGTTTCAATTAAGAAAAGCATCTATATAGAATTTTATTTTTAACCAAACCCTCTGGGAAGAGCTTCATACACTTGCATTGGTTCTCCCTGATTTATCTAATTGGTGATTAAAAAGTATTACCTCCAGCAGTCTGGATTGCTCTGAACAAAAAATTGATGAAGTATTTTTTGTTTCAATTTCTTTCCTCTCACTCCATTCCACTTTGTTAGCACTTTTGTCATCTTCTTCATCATCTTCTTTGTTAAATAAGGATGAAATTTTGCGCTTTTCTCTGACAATAACAGCCACCAATTTATCATCATCGTACCTTAATAGTGCTTCTCCCAAACTGCTGTCAATTTCCAAATTGCCGCAGATATTCGCTAGAGAAGAACAGTTCTGTGAAAATTAACCCACCAATCACTCCAAGTAAAACAAAGCAAAATAAACCAGGTAGAAATAAAAGAAAGAAGAAATCATTACATCTGCACTCGAGTCTATACAACCAGCAAGTTTGCCATATTCTCCATCAACTAGTTCCATATCTGTTGCCGGGCTTCTCTCCACAACTTCTCCTTTCCTTTCTTCTATCAGATAAAAATCTAGTTCTGTTTGATCAACCTTAGAAATTTGAACACATGCATCGAGATTTTCATGGGAATTCACCTGAAAATAACAGAGCTTAAAACCAAAACTTTTTTCGTATGCCTTTTTGCAGCTAAATTAAAGCACAATATGACAATCGATTCCTTCCTAACAATAACCTCGACCACTCCTTCCTCTCCATTAGCTTCATCCCCCGCCCCTTCTTTGTTAACCACGAGCTCCTTCGCTTCATGGGAACCAAGATGCTCACAAGAATCCCTCTGATGGAAATCGAAGAGCACGGAGAAAATAAATTTTAAAAAAAATAAAGATAATCGAAACCATAATAAGCCTTTCTGCCGAAAACCACCTGAATCCCCTCCGTAGTCGATCCTCTTCTCCTCTTATGGGCACGAATCCGATGAGCGGCAAACGCCGACGCCAAAAGTGCTCCAGCAGCCGCGCCAAGTAGGAGAAGGACTCCTCCCCCATTGACGTTCGCAAACGGAGTAGAACCAGCTCTAGTGCTTCTTCTCCTTCCACTACTCTGTTTAGTCATCTCCTCCCCTGCCATTTTGTCTTCGCGTCTTCAATTCTTAAACTGCTATAACGTTTGTGGAGGGGAATCCTCCATGGTAATTTAATAAGAGAATTCGTCATTTTTCTGTGCAGGTTCGTTGATTCCTCATACCTTAATGGCGGAAATGACTCGATGAGGGAAAGTGGGGTTTGCCTGTGTCCGCTTGTGTGGCGGAGAGCAGTTCGGGGGCCGGCCCAGTGAAATTGGGTTTGTTTTTAATTTGATTTTTTATTTTTTTTATACGCTCTCCAGTTAGAGGAAAAAATTTGCATACATAAGACGATCGTATAGCTGCATACATCTGTAACTTGAAAATAAGTTACAGAGAAGATATTTGAAGGTTGTAACCGCATTATAATTACAGGAGCTATAATGTGGTTATAACCTCTGAATATCATCCCTGTAACCTATTTGCAGGTTACAGTTCTCCCCCAGTTAGAAGTGAGAAAAAATTATTTAAATCACAATTCAATAATTTTAAAAATTTATGAATTATTATTTTTTTTTTTAAAATAGTTCTTCTTCTAAAAATTTGAGTGAATTATTCTTATAAAGATGATAGGTGTTATTTAAAAAAAATATTAATTTATTTTAATATGTAATTTTTTTTAGTTTTTAAGTAGTTTATGTAACACATACTATAAATAATAATAATTTGTTTAAAAAATAAATATTAATATTTATATTATTATTAATAATAAATTTTTTATCATTATTAATATTTATAATTTTATCATATTTTTAAAAATCATCTTTTTATGTTTAGATAAAAGTATATATTTTCTTACTAAAAAATGATATAGAAATGAGAATTTTTTTAGAAAAAAAATATTATATGAATTTTGCATATCATAAAATAAGTTATGATTTGTTTTATTTATATATTAAATTGATTAATTCATATGATAATTGTATTTATTAAATTGATTAATCTATTTGTGAATCTAATACATTTGAGTGCCTAAAAAGCATTTAGGGGCCGTTTAGTTTGCTAAAAATGAAATTCAATGTAAAGGTTTTCAGAGTTCTAAGGTTATAATGTATTTAAAATACTTTCGAGTTAGTTTGGTATAATAGCATTGTATTTGAGAAAGTCTTGATTATTTAATTTAATGTAATTATTTTTTTTTTCATACTTTACTAAAAATAAAATGTAATGTAAAAGTTTTGAAGTGTGTTATAATTACAATATCTTTGAAATATTTTTGAATTGTTTCGTTCAATGTAAATAGACGTAGAATTTTATTTTTTTCTTTTGTTTGGTTTGAAGTAGATTGAAAATAATGTATTTACTTGGGCAAAGGGAGGCAAGCAGCAGGCGACGATGATGGCGACGACGGCATGCGGAGGCGGCTCGGCGGCCTTCTGTGACTGGCGGTGGTGGTGGGAGGCGGTGGAAAACTACTACGATAGGCGGAGCAGACAGAGGCAATAACGACAGGCGGTGGCCAGCGGGTGGGAGGCGAACGGGCGCGCAGCAGTGAGCGATGGGTAGCAGCGACTTGGCAGTAACATTTTACATAAACAATGTAATTCAAATTCAGCCAAATTGGTTGAATTTTAAATTCAACTAAAATGAACTATTGTGTGAAATTCAAATTCATTAAAACTTTACATTTTATTTAAAAATCTTCATACCAAAAACCTAATTTTCTCAAATCCCTGAAAAATAATTACAGTACAGCACTAATTCACTCAACGAAGTGACCCCTTAGTCATACACATGTAACTCTTGTTGACCTCACTTTTGTGAGGACTCACCCCACCTGCTTACACATGACCTTAGACTAGGGTTGTGCTTTCTTAGGCCTCATCAGGGCAAGCCTAAGCCCCCAACCCTTGGTTGAGATGGCTTAGGTTTTTGACTAGGTGAGGAACCCAAAACTGACCCCATGGGCAAAACATGCCCCAGGTCACCTAAACAGCCCAAATCCTTAGGGGCGTCTCTATGAAACCTAGGAACCACAATGACCATGAAATTTACCTTTGGAAAAGGGTCTATCTATATTGATCCCTAACTTCACCAAAGGCGTTCAGAACTCCACCAAACCCTAAAAAGCACCATAAACCCTAATATGCTCTTTTGACCCCAAAATTTAGTAGCAACATTGAGTAGTCAGCCAATTGAGCCACAATTTTGGTCAAATCTTAACCAACTGACCACATTCCCATCCAATTGAGCCTCACCCAACATGACCATGACACCACGCCATGTGGTGGACCTAACTGGCACCATGGGGTCAACCCCCATAATTCACTTAATTAATTATTTATTTAATTAATTAAGGAGTTTATGAAATTCCATTTCGGCCTAAAATTTGGAAAGCCTGTGGCCCATGAAGCCCTAGCTCATTCTTAATGGGTTACCCTTGATCGAAACCAACCCACCATGACATGTGGGTGACACTACATGATAAACCGTCAAATCCAAGCATAGAGGAAAAAACCACACATTTAGCAATGTCACCTTACACTTAGCTCCTTAGGTCGACCAACTTTTGGAGAGGCCAAACCAGGCCCTCGGGAGCCAATACGAGACCAAAATTGGTTATAACCACCAAAAGACTCCTCAAGCACGAAGAGCTCCTCCCCACACCTTCTCTACACCTCCTTCTCCATCATTGGCACCACCTTGGCCAAGGCAAGGAAAATTGCAAAAGTCTTCCCCACTGCTGATGTGTGAAAAGATTGCATGAAATTCTTTATATTTTACACATCTCTTTAAATGAGGTTACACTTTAAAGAAAAGTATTTTCATGTTTTTCTTGCATGTTTAACAGATATTAATACTGTAACAAAGTGGAATGAACATGGAACGAAAATGAAGATTTATAGAAAAAGTAGGATTTGTGAAAACAAGGCCATAACGCCACTATTGCAGCACCTAGGCCTACTCAATCAACCAAAGGCCAAGGCCATGACACCAAGAGTCTGACGCTTAGGCACCAGTCCACTAAAGGCAAGGTTATGGTGTCAGATAGAGCGGCGCTTAGGCACCAAACACCAAAGAGCAACCTGAGATGTTGGTGCTTAGGCGCCAACACTGGGCACCATAGCCCCTGTTTTGAAGGCCAAGGTTACGGCGCCGGATATCATGGCGCCAGTTGCTAGTAATGAATTTTAAATAGTTTTGAGCATTTTCAACCATTACTTCGAGGTGGTTTTTGTGCAAATCAAGGCAATTTTTGGGAGTTATTAAAGAGCACTTACAGGAGGAAATAGAGGGAGACACCCAAGGAATAATGAAGAAAGCTCTTGAGCAACACTTGGATTAGAGAGGGAGTCTTGAGAGAGATTTTACTCCATTATTGTGAGAGTTCTTAGGCTTGGTCTAAGCAAGTATAGAGTGTGAATAGTGTGATTTGTATTTAATATTGTGTAAAGAGTTGCAGGAGAGGAGTAAAAGAATTTGATAAATCATTCTCAAGAGGATTAAGGGAGAGAGATAAGTTTCTTTGTGTTTTTTGTTTCTAATGCTTGAATGTTGAATCTCTTTAATTCAATACATGCTTATTTTATTTTATCCATGAATTCTGAGTAAAATCCCTTGCTTTTCTTTGTGGTGGTGTGGTAAATATATAAGATTGTTGGATTGAAAGTGAAATAGTCTTTTATCTATATTTGTGATGGTTTCCTTTTAAACTTAGTTTAATTTTTAATCTGGTCATTTGATCTGTTAAAATATGTTGTAGCCTGTAAGGACTCGGAAGAGCTACGACATAAATGACTAGGAGATCACATTGAGCTTTAATTTATGAATCAAAGTACATTATATAGAGATACAAATGTCAGGGAGATTATTTTATTGGTGGATAACTTAGAGGATTCTAGGGTGACAATATAGACCAATTACTAAGTTAATCCTAACTTCTTTACATGCTTAGAAGAAGGTAAACAAGATTTATGCACCTATTTGTCTCATACTTTACTTTATTTAATATTTCTTTTACATCTACATTTTACTATAATCACCACAAGGAATAACACTCTTATAACTTGGTAAAAACAAATTTTCATAGCATATTTAGAATTTCTATAGAAGTAATTTTAGATTACAAAGGTAGGATTGATCGCTCAACTAAAGTAATTCAAAATTTTTTGACATTACTTTTTGTTGAGGTCTATTCTTTCTTCCTTAGGAGCCTACGATCTAGCCATAAGACTTTCCTATTTACTATTCCTAGAGGACTAGTAATGGTACCCTCACCAATAGAAATTCTAAACTCTTCTTTGCTCATCTTGAAGGAGCCTAGGATCTAGCCATAAGACTTTCATGTTGACTATTCCTAGAGGACTAGTGATGGTACCCTCACCAACAGAAATTCTAAACTTTTCTTCTCTCATCTTGAAGTTTCACTTGCTAGTTCTAATCTCTAGAACTTAGTAGGTAGAGCTAATATGGAGGACCTCAAGAGGGGTTCTCCATAGGACTGTCTGACCTTAGGGTTAACCTTGGGTGATGTGGCTTGGTCTAGTACACACATACTTGCACTTCACACTTCCATTTGCAATCTTGAACCTTAACCTACACATGCCTAGTTTGGTTCCCTTGTCTCTTTGGAGACTCATTTGGGTGGTCCCCCAAACCCTTAGTCTTTAGTTAGGAAGGATAGGACTGGCACATAGAGGATCCAAAGTGGGGTTTCTTTGGTCTCATGACACCATGGGGGTAATTCTATGATCCACATTTACATCAAATCTCAACCCTACCCAAATTTCAAATTTTGGCCTTTTAGCCATAAACTTCCCCAAAATTACCAAATTGCCCCTAACACCCTTAAAATTCAAGATTGACCCAAATCCCTCAATTTTGCTTAAAAATCATCTCAAACCATTTCATACCATCCAAATTACTAAAAATACTCCAAAATTTTCATATTTACCAAAATACCCCCAAATTTGTCAAAATTACCAAAATGCCCTTAATGGCTCAAAAATTCCCAAATTCTCCAAAGTCATTTCAAGCATCCCTTAAACCAATTCTTGACTATCCATTGGGTCCAATTTGATCAAATTGACCCATGTTGACTAATCCCCAAATTGCCCATAAGTGTCAAATGTCCCCAAATTACCTTCAATCTCCACCAAATTGCCCCCAAGTTTCCCCAATTTCAAGTCTAAATCTAATTTCTTCATGTCTAAACCCAATTGAAACCAAATTCAGGCCCAACCTCAAG